GTTGTCACCCCGCTTAGTCCTCCCGCACCCGTCGGATTCGCCCGTGCCCACAGTCCGTCGTGGCCCACGTCAATCCCGTGCGTTCGGCACCAGCCCGTCGGGTCGCCCAACTCCTACTCTACTCACCTCTTACTTCGCTCGTGTGCCGACCCTTCTTGATCGCGCAACCGCGAGCTTCCAACAACAAATTAAGAGAGCTGACCAATCGCGCAGCCGAAATTTATAGCGTGCATGCATGCGAGAAGAACACGGAATTACCTAGACTTAGAGTGAAGATATGAGAGAGAACGCCTGCGTTCTGCATGATCAGCCGAGGCGTGGGGGACGTAACCCTTCTCCACGCATCGATCCGAGCATGCAAGTTGCGGCTAACAAAATTTCAGCAAAAGAAAGAGAGTGAGGGCGGGAGAGACGAAGTGCAAGAAGAGAGATACAGTYACAATGGCGCCCGCCCAAAATTACAGTTACATATACGACTAAGGGCGCCCACTAATCAGAGTACCGTTGCAGCCGCATGAAGAAGCGCGTAAACAAAAGGCGCCGCGCGGCAGGAAAAATCCTAATTACTGAATTCCTAAATTCCTATCTAATGCGAAAAAGCAAAAAGCACGAATTCTAGAAGGGAAGTCTGAAATTTCGAGAGTCATTGGGGGCTCGACAAAATTCGAAAAAGATTGAAGAGGAAATTTAAAAAAGAACGAAGCAATTTCCCGCGCGATATCCGCGCCCAAAAGATCGAAAGCCGAACCAAAAGAAACGACGTCAACATTTAATTATCGCCCACGTGTGTGGCGTCGCACCAGACAACCCTCCGACTAATCAATCAACCGACCGTCCCAAGACACACCCAACCCCGTGCCCGACCATTCGAAAAAGAAACGACGAAAAGGACGAAAAATGACGAAAATGCGAGGACACTCATGCAATTCTCCACTGATCCCGATCTCCCGTAATTGGCCCAATCTTCCAAGCTTAGGACCCCTCATTGCAACCGCGCAGAAAATCGCGCGTTACATAAAGAGGTTCGTCACATATGTGATGCCCTGGGGGTTCCAATATTAGCAAGCTCCTGCTTGCTTGTTAACACGTGTCGATTTCTCTAATTGATCGACACGCGGAGCAATTCTCTGTATGCCACTTACTGTTCGATTGCGTGTGGACGTCGTCCAACGTGGCAACTCTGTTCTTCTACTAGTTCCTCAGATTGGGCTCTTCGACAATCCAAGGACGGGATCTTTCTCGTGCCGTCGCCGCGACACTCGTCCATTACCGCTGCATCAGTAATTAACCGAAAGGGGGAAGGGAAGGCGATACGCGTATGAGGGAGGGCGGGGCGGCTCCATCGTAAGCTCGGGTATGAAGCGTCCGATCGCAGTGAGGTCGTAGAGAAGTTCTTGAAATTGGACAATGCGATGGAAGCGGGGGAATCTCTGGCTGCTGCGGGGAAGGGAAGCGAGGTAGTTTGGGTAAAGGGATACGAGGGTTCGGAGGACGTCTGTGCGGAACCGATCATGGTTCTCGCACGCGGGGAAGGTCCCCGTAACGATGCAGTAAACCTCTATATGGTTACGGCCTCGCCATGCGACGCTAAGGAGTAGAAGGTGGAGGGAGTAGTCGGGGAGAGCACACCGAACGGAAGGGTGGGGGTGGACAGCCAGTTCTAGGCGGGCGGAGTAGAAATGTCGGAAGGTGGCGACGGGGAAGGGATTACGGGGGTAGATGACGTAATGGAAATACTGATTGAAAGAGAGATAGCTAAGGGGATGGTGGTATATGGATCGGGGACGAAGGGCTAARCCCCTCATTGACACGTTGACGAATTGGGGGACGGGCGGAGGCGGAGGGGGACGTGGATCGGGATCGGGATCAGCGCCTTGTCGTCGCGGCTCCCGAGGTCGTGGCAGCAAGGGCTCCATGTTCCGGCTTGGGCGGCTCGGGATCCTTGTAAGGATCGTTCGGTGCGGGATCGATCGCCAGCCGCTTTCCTTCCGCGATCTCTTTCTTGTGCTGCGCAGCAGCCTCCAGGTTCTCCTCTCGCCGAACCCGTCCTGGCACCCACTCGAGCTCATCGTGCGTTGGTTCCTGGTCGTCCCTGCTTTCCCTTTCTTTGTCGTCTTCGTCCTCCTCCTCACTTTGCTCGCCCTCGCTGTACTCGCTATAGGCCTCTTCCTCTTCCTCCGAAGTCTCCTCCTCTGCTTCTTCTTTTTCTTCTTCTTCAGCTTCTGTCGACTCTTCTTCTGCTTCGCGCTCTTCTTCCTCATCCTCGGCCAATCGGGCCGCTGCTTCCCCGTCCTTTCTCCTCAATTCTACCTCCGATTCCTCTTCGGCCTCCTCTTCTGCTCTCAGCGTCGCCCACTCAAACGCCATTGGTTGCCGAAAGAAGCGGGGATTAATTAGGCTGTGGACGTCCAAGTACTCGCTACGGGAGGGAAAACGGTCGTCCGCCCAGCGCTCCTCGGTACAAACCGACCACTGGAGGCTCGGGGCGAGAGTCCTTGGGAGGGTATGTGGCACGGGTTCTTCGTCTCTCTGAGAGACGATGTCAAGAGGGAGTTCGTCGGCCAATCGCGCGATCACGATCTGTGATCGGTTTCCCTGATCCACTGCTCCAAAGACGAACCCCAGAAGATCTCCCGCCACGTTGGTCCTCCACACCTAAATGACGAGCAACTCCACAATCTCCGACGCGGGCCTCTGATCGCCTTCCCACGTCCAGTTCAGATCCACTCGTAGCAGGCAAAACGAGAGCTCGACAAATTCTGCACGCCACAGCCTCCAACGGACCGGATCAACGATGGGTACTGTCAGAGGCTCCAGTCGGAAGGAGAGACGAGGGTAGTGAGAGGACTGCCAGAGGATGGGGAAGAGAGAGGGAGGAGAGAACGTCGAGATCGGCGAGCGGCTCATCTGCACGGCTGGAAGGGAGCAAGTGCTGGGAGAACGACAGGTGGCTCGTGTAGCGTCGTGCGCAGCGTGTTGACTTCGATGTCGTCGACAGGATAGCACTCGTCACCGTGCCTTGTGAGCCGTCGATCCCAATGAGTGGCCAGATCGCGACCCCACCGGTACAAGGTGCTTTTGATGGCGGCTTGCCGCGCCGGATTGAAGGCGGGGACGTCGCCGCTGAAGACTACCACGGTAGGCACGTGGCTGATTCCCGGGGCCGCTCGCCGTTGGAACGTCGTTGCCTCGGCCAGCACTACTACCTGGGGATTGCTCGTGAATCGGAACTCTGCCGCGTCGTATACACCCGCAGTGCAGAAGAACTGCGCAAGGCGCATGAAGTCGGGGCTGATCCGCGGATGATGCACTTGGCGGATGGCTGAGATCTCTCCCCGTGGCATCAGCAACTGATCACTGAAAGCTCGCTCAATGGCGAAACTCATGGCGATGGCGGGGGCGACGGGGTGGCAGAGAGGGAGCAAGAAAGGGAGGGAGATGGCGGAGAGTCCGAGCCGTCGTCGTCGGCTTCCTCAGTAAGAGAGATTGAGGGAGAGGGAGACGGAGCAGGGGGAAGGAGGCGAAGATAGGACACGTGGCGTGGGATCGGACGAGCCGATCGACTGTCAGAGACTTCAGGGGCGAGACGCACGGTGTCCACGCCGTTGGGGCTGAGCTCGATCACGCGATATCGCCCGAAGAATGGTAGCGCTAGCTTACCCTGGCGAGCACATTTCCTCACCTGCACCACGTCCCCCAATTTGTACAGGGGCCACAGACCTGCATTCCCATTTCGGGCCTCGTAGCTCCGGACCTGTCGGCCCTGGGCTACTTCGGTCATTTTTKGTCGCTTTCGGGCTAGCCTGGGCAGCGACCGTTCCATTAACTCTAGGTGTCGTTTGGCCTTGTCCCGAGCCGTGGCCCTGGTGGGCCGTCGTTTCAATGTAGACTCATCTGGGAAGCTTGGTATTAAAACGCAAGCGACGCTATTGGTCCGTAATTGGAAGGGGCTTAGCCCTGTCGATTCGTGAGGCRTTCCACGATGGACCGCCAGGATGTGATCGACGATATCGGGCCAGGGCCTCGGATCCCGTGCCGCGATGTTTCGTCGCAATGTGGTCTTTATCATTCGGTTCGTGTTCTCAACCAGCCCATTGGATTGTGACATGTGGGGTGCAGTGTTTCGTATGGCGATGCCATGTAAGACCAGATTCCTTAGCACTTCCCCCCTGAATTCAGCCCCATTGTCGGTCAGGATCTCTTCCGTATCTTGGTGCATCCCTAGGAAACGGTTGACATATCGCGCGATTTCCGTAGCTTGCCGCATGCGACAAGGATACGCTTCGATCCATTTCGAGAAATGGTCGACAAATACCAATAGGACTGAATATTCACAACTATTGGGGCCAGGGGGCACGACTATGCCGGTAGTGTCCATGCTCACTCTTTGAAATGGCCGTTCAACAACCGTGGGCACTATCGACCTTGGCGGCTGAACCGGCGCTTTATCAGCGGCGCAGACTTGACAGTTGGCGACGATGTATTTCACATCATCGCGGATATTGGACCAGTGCCACTCATTTTTGTCGATAGCGGACTCCGTGATTCGTACAGCAAAATGAGCTGCAATTTCCTCGTGGGCTGTCTTAACCCAGTCATACCGCATGAACGGATGCGGCACCACCATCCAAATTCCACTGCCGTCTGTTTTCCGTTTTTCTAATCTACCCTCTATCCACCAATAATCCCGAGCCCTCTCGTTGGCCCTCCTCCGATCTTCCTTGGTGAAATCCTGGAGGGGATTACCTACTAGGGTGGCAATTAGGGCAACATCAGTCCATACTTCAACCCTTATAAGCTTCCGGGTCTTTTCCAACCCTTCTGACGTGGCATCCAAAAAGCGAGCCTCGGTCGGATCTTGTCGGTCCGGCACAAGAGGCACAACCACAGTTTACTCTCCTTCCTGTATCGGATGCACGAGCCATGGGCTCGTGCAACACACTGTCGGCAATCTATCCAATCCGCATACCCTTCCCCGTTAGAACGCATGGAGACCGAATAGACGCGGGAAATGGCTTCACAAAAATAGCAAAATTTGTCAGGCAGAGAGAGGAGAGACGAGGAGGAAGGRGGAGAAAGAGGGGTAGTGGGGTTACCTCTATCACCCATCGCCACCGTTTTGCTTCTTGCCACGTGGGAGAACTGCCACTTGTCCGTACTTCGGCTCGTTAGTCAAGTCCGGCTCTTTCCACGGTGTAATTTCCCCCCCCTTTGGTACCTTGGCAGGTCGATGCAGACGTGTCAGCCCGTCCGCGTTGTCATGTCGCTCTGTCTTTCGATGGACGATATCGAAGCGTATTCTTGTAGTCGCACYGCCCAACGGCCAATCATGCCTGTGTAGTTGGTGAGTTGCTTCAGTGCCAGCAGAGGCTCGTGATCCGTTATGAGGCGAAACTTCTGTCCGTAGAGATACGGATGGAAGTGTTGGATTCCCCAAACCACCACGTAGCACTCACCCTGAGGTGCGGAGTCGTTTCTTCGTTCGTCCGGCACGGTTCGTGACGCGTACTCGATGACGTGTTCGCGACCATCGTTCCCCTTCTGCGTTAGAATAGCGGAAATAGCTTCCGGTTGCCAGTCCGTGATGAGAATGAACTGCTTCGAGGGGTCCGGTCGAATCAAGATAGGGGCCGTTGCCAGAGCGTCCTTGAGGGTTGCAAAGGTCTGCTGGCACTCAGCGTCCCAGCTGAGAGGCTGGTCCTTCCGTAACAGATTCGTTACTGGCCATGCAATCGCGGCAAAGCCCTTGATGAAGCGTCGGTAGTACGACGCCAGTCCCAAGAAGGCTCGAACCTGCGTCAGTGACGTGGGAGTCGGAGCTTCCTTCACCGCCACTACTTTTCTCGAGTCTGGCCGCAATCCTCCACGTGTCACGACATAGCCCAAGAACGAAATTTCCGAGAGGAAAAATTCGCTCTTCTCAAGCGCAATCTTGAACCCATCGTCTCTCAATGCACCCAATGTCCATTCGATGTGTTGCACGTGCCTGTGATAGGTTTCCGAATAGACCAGGATGTCGTCCATGTACACGATCAAGCAGAAGTTAATCATTCCTTGTGTCAGCCGTGTCTTGTTGACGAAGTTCTGGAACGTCATGTTCATCTCTCGCTGAAACGTGGCAGGTGCATTGCAAATCCCCATCGGACACCGAACCCACTGCCACGTGCCCTCGAACAACACAAAGGCCGTTTTCGGTCGGTCTTCTTCCCTTACCAGAATATGATGGAAGGCATGCCGAATATCAAACTTGCTGAAATAATTAGAGCATCCAATCGCATCCAACAGATCATCAATCCGGGGGAGGGGATACACATATTTGATCGTGATTTCATTCAACTTACGATAATCAATGCAAATGTGAATCGCTYCGTTTTTCTTCGGTACTAACACAAAGGGAAAGGACCAAGGTCCGGTAGCGGGTTCAATCCAACCGCTGGCTTCGAACTCTCGAATTCGTTCGAGAGCCTTTTTGCGTTCAAGCAAGGAATAGCGATAAGGTTTGCAATGAATCGGGGTGTGATTTCTTGTCTGAATTTCATGTTGGATTACTAACGACAACCAAATGTCAGTGTCTGACACACTAATCGCTCCTTGATATTCTGTTAGAATATCCGCAATTACCCGGTGGATTTCATCCGGCACATATTGTGGAATGTGCAGTTCAAAAAGTTGGTCCCAGATCCGAACGTCAATTCGTTTCGTGCTTGCCAAGTTTGCCAAGTCGGGTGGAGGCGCAGAKATGAATGAATGATCCGATCGCCAGGAGAACACCGTGGCCATCATCTGGGCATCTTCCTCTCGGATTGCCATGTGTCCTTBCGGGGTAATCCCGTCACAAACATCCTGCCATGGCACTTCCTTAGTTGCGATCTTTATCCCCAGTCTGTCTGCTTCTGCTTCAAAACGCCCAGGGGGTTCTAGAGAGCTTGCTTCCGCCCCCAAGCATAACAATCTCACTTCTTTAGCCGAGGTTAGTAAGGACTTGGGTAGATYCGTAATGTCACAGTAATGCTTATTGTCGTTGTACCAGGCGAGGAGAGGGGTGATTCCTTCGTACAGAGTTTGAGGGGGTTCCAAAGAATCGACCATCCTCGAAATCTGCACGAGGGGCTCACCCAAGATCATCGCCGTGGTCCTTTGAATTTTTCGGTTGGTCAGTTGCATCGTTCTCGGTATCGTTTTGGGCAGCGGGTAACAAACACGTTGTCGTGCCAATTTCAAGATCTCCGGATCATCCTCGTCACTGCTTTCCGCATCATCTGTTGATGACTTCTCCTCTGCGGATTTCTCCCAGGAGATCATGCGGAGAGTCCCTGCCATCATCGRCGAAACCCGCGGAACCTCGTTAATAGTAGTGTGAAGGGTCAATCGCATGGGCACAGCGTAGGGTTTTCCTCCTGTATTTCGGAGGATGATCGATCGTCGTTCGAAGTGTAGGTTTGCTCGTAACGCCACAAGAGCGGGAAGTCCGAAGAGAACGTCGGACGTATTCACATCTAGTACTACGACATCCCCAAGCGCATGCACTTTACCCAATCGGAAAGCGACATTGGTCATCCTTCCCCCGATTTTAATTATTTCTTCATCAGCCGAAACGAGCTGGTCTTTCTCAGAAAGCGTGATCAGGTCGTTTTGCCTGCCTGCCCTTTCGACCACTCTCAGTGAGATAGTCAACACAGCTGCTCCCGAATCTATAATGGCATTGTAAGGCATTCCCCAAATTTTTATATCGCACTCGGCGGATTTCCACGGAATTGGTTTAATCCGCAGGAAATTATCATCTTTCGAGATTAAACCTACCCGTATCGGATCCCAAGTACTTGTGGGGTTTTCTTCGGGCGCGGGGCTTTTGGCTTTCGCGTTCAAGGTTCGGGCAAGGGCGAATCGCTTTCGGTTCGCCTTGCAATGATRTAACATTCGCTCGTTGGCTTGCTCGGAGATCGAGAGTAGATGACCAATCGGAAGGGGAATCCGATGGTCCAATGCTCGGATGATGTTTAATGCATCGATTTCTCCTGTGACGAAGGTGGGTGCTCCTGATTCCATTTCTCCCAGAGATGGTCGCCATTCCGCCACCTCTTTCGGTTCTGGTGCTGGTCTGATGGTTCCGATCATTCCGAGCCTGGGATATCCCAGCGATACGTACTGATCTAGCATGATTAGTTCAGCGGCCTCTTCCGAGGTAGCCAGAGCACTTCCCCCACCCTCTACTTCTTCCATCAAGGCTCCGACTCGTCCAGGTCCATTGGCGATGGGAGCCGCGGCCATGGGTGTGGCTCCGATCCGCTGTTGTGGAGGCCGGTGGGGGCAATCACAGGCTAGATGTTCTGGCTGATGACAGGCATAACAAACATTTAGATTGTTCGCAACTCCCTCGAGCGCAGGGGCATGGGCTAATCCTTGCGGCATCGGAGGGGCGCGTACCGCAATGGGTCGCATGTTCCTCATCCTGGCTTCCAGCCGAGCATTGTGCTCTCGCTGCGCTTTTTTGCTTTCTTGGATCAAACTAATCAAGGTTTTTGTTAGTTTAAAAATGGCCACCGATTCGTTTATTCGCGCGGGAGCCTCAACTGGTGGCGGGGGTAACGCCCTGACTGGCGGAGGCATCATAAGAGCAGAGATGCCCGGAGTCTCACTTAGAATTACTCGTTTAGGGCCTATCTGTACCATATCGGTGACAGGTCCAGATACAAACCCCATGTTTTCAAATTTGTTCTGTAAAGCAGCCAGCTCCGCTCTTGCTCGGGCGAGCTCGGTCGAATCTCCGTCTCTAGGGTAGTCTTCTCCTTCCAGGAAGCTCGCCGCGAACTTCCATTCCATTTCTTTCGCAGCAGCCATAATTTGTTGTAGCGTATGGGTGATGGGGGAAAACTGCTTTCGCAACTTAGCCCTTATTGTCCGGCTGCGGAATCCGTCAATGAATAGATCTCTCCCTACTTGCTCACCTCGCTCAATTTTTACGAACATTCTGTAGAACCGGTTTCGATATTCCGCGACGGATTCGAGCGGTTTTTGCACTCGGTCCTTGATCATGTACAGCGCTTGCTCAGGGTGGACATAATCAAATCAGTTCATGAAATCTCATTCGAAGGTCGGGAGGTCCACCCACACATAGGTACTATACCAGTGATGAGCGCCTCCTCCCATTCGAGCTGGAATGTTGATCTGTGCTTCATGATCGTCGTACTGTTGTGCTCTTAGCGTGGCCAGCCATGATCCTGCGAGATGGTGCGCTGGATCAAACAGATAGAGATCTGGTAGTGACATGGGAGCTCGTGCACGTGGGGCAGGTTGATTACGTCGATTAGCATTTTGTTGCGGAACCGGACTTTGCACATTGGCAGCCATATTGGTTGCTCGTCGGTTAGCCGATCTGCTTCTGGTGACGATAGGGTTGCGTCTATGCACGTTCCAAGGGCGAGGTCGCCCTTGGTTAGCCAGGTCGCCTAATTAATGTGCTATCAATCCTAAGACCCTAGCCACGTGTCGGGCTCCGATACCAACCTCACGCCCAGCGCGACTTCCTGATCGGAGTGGGATGTGGGCCTGGAAGTGCGAAAAAGGGATGTGCCAAGGATTTTTGGGGGAAGTGGGGGAGTCTTAAGGGTATGAATGCAATTAGGCGAATAAGGGGTGCGCGCGCAAGGGTCTCACAGTCCGAAGGGGCCGGGACACTGTGGGCGACGGGTTACGGGAAAATCCCTCCGTGGTGGAGATGGTCCCGAATAGTTAGGCCGTCGGGGGCCGCCACGTGGCGCAGGCCGCCTCGTACCTGGGTTGGGCCTTCGGAATTCCGGAGTTCT